AAAAAAAAAACAAAAAAGAAAACTCACTTACACTCACTCACACACAAAAGAAGAAAAAACAAAAACAACAATCTTCACATTGTATTTACTGTACGGATATGCCACCACAGGTTTCACAGGATTTCCTTGAAGATGCTCTCGCCACGTGGGAGCGTTTACGACGATGGACGGATCTCAACACCTACTTAACAGCCCTACGCAGTCAACCATTTCACCGACCCCAACAAATGGAGAGAGAACCCTATTCCATGCGAGTTGCCCGTCGTGTGAATGAAGTTGTGGATCGTCTCTCTGCCCATTCAGACACGGTGTTGGAGAAGGACGTCACTCCACGTGGGGCATTATTGGCACTCGCCGCAGATGTACGGTTGTGTTTGATTCCACTCCCTAATGTCAGTAGTTATGATGCCGATCCGGATATATCAACAGGACAACAGACATTCATCACTTCTTCTTCTTCTTCCTCTTCCTATTCCGTTATGAATACTAATACTATTCCTACTAATACTATTAATACTACTACTACTACTACTACTAATTCTACTGATACGACGATGAATGATGATTCTATTGGTAATAATGGTGTTGGTGTGGATACCTGGGAAGCATCTGTGCAACACCGCGATGTCTCTGGCGTCACCGTGATGGAAGGTCTTCACATCCTCACATGCCCTGGTGTGCAACTGCGCATAGATGCCAATGTGGCCAGACTCCGACAACGTGTTCGTGGGGAAATGAACGGCGGCTCCGAGTGGGTCTCACATACACACACATCCACAGAATTACACGCATTGCGAGCCACTGCCTTATTATTAGATGACTTCACCGCTTTATATGAACGAGTACTCTCTACCTTTGCCTGTGTACGTGTGATGGGTTCCTCACATGTCCCTGTAGCGTTATTGCCGGTTTTACATCAACTCTATTGTGAATTAGGCACGTGGGTGTTGGAAGCAGAGACCGCAACGGCGACAACAATAGGCGCACGTGTCCAATCGTTTGAACCGAAGAAATTAAAAGTAATGATGCGACGTCCAAACAGAGAAGCCTCATGGGGATTGCGATTTAATCAACAAGGAAAACTCATTGGGGTGAGTGCCATGGTACGATCCGCCTCTGTGGCTGGAGAGAGATTACATAAAGCCGTGCAGGCCACAAAAGGGGGTGTGATGATAAGACGATATAATATGAAATCAGTGGATTTTACAAAATTTAACGCTGCAGAGGCGGCAAGATACTTTGAACAGTTATCACCAAAACAAACAAGAGTTTATTTGGTACTGAAGGCTGAGGGCAGTACAAAGCGGCGTGTGGAACAATTAGCCTTCTTTACAACAACAACAACTTCATCATCATCATCATCATTACAAATGTTGCCATTAGGGGAAAAGCAGAATAAGGAAGAGAAAGGTAAAGGGAAGAAAGGTGGTAATCGTGTGGAAAGTAAAGTAGATGAGGAACAGAAGAAAGAAGAAGAAGAAGAAGTATCTCAAGAGAAGATAATGCTTCAAAAGCAAAAACAAGAGAAATTACCACGTGCTACTTTGGTTCTTTATCGAGATGACTATAATGTTTCTTGGGATATGGCGGTTACTCGAGATTTGGTGATTGTAAATGTTCCCGCAGGTGTTCTCTCACAAGAGGCACAGACATTCTTTAAAACTCATCCCAGACAAATACGTATTAACGCTATTAACGGTGTAGAAGTGACAAATGCGGTACAAGTGGAAGCCTTAAGTTCTATTGTAAACACCATTGTGTTGGATGTGTACTGTTGTGAGACTCCTTCTCTAATGGAAAAGGAAAGTGAAGGAAAAGAAACTAAGAACAACACGACTACATCATCGTCATCATCGTCTGGGCGACGATCGAAAACTTCAGTTTCTGCTCATCAGAACTCCACTGGAACTTCACGTAGTGTAAAGACACGAAGTCGACAAAAGGAAGAATCTGCACAGAAGACACAACGTAAACGGGTTACTGATGATAATAATAATAATAATAATAATAATAATAATAATAATAATAATAATAGTAGTAGTAGTAGGAAAGAAGTATTAGAGGATAATATCTTGGAAGATCCCTTAAAGTTGAATTCCCATACAGTGACAACACCACCTACTACCTCTGCATCATTATTATCATCATCCAATACATCTGTAGGAAAGAAAGTTCGTAGTGAAACGAAGTTGAAAAATTCAACATCTTCTTCAAAGTTGAATGATATCATGGATACAACTCTTTCTACAGCTACTGAAGGTACGGAATACAAGTTGTCGGATGATGTCCTTGCGGCTCTTAAAGAGAGTCCCATCTTGCCGATATCTACCATGCGATCAAGTGCAGAGTCTTTATTGAATGGATCTAAACAGTCAGAAGAGAACACCGTACATGATGGTAATAGTAATAGTAATATTACTAATACTAATACTACTATTGCAAATAAGCGTGAGAATAGGAAATCAATAGAAGAGAAAGAGGAAATGATGAATATATCTCCAAAGGCAGAGGCACCTGTATATGGATGGGATAGTCCTACACCCTCTCTGGATGCTGATAATATGGATGAACCCGTAGTGAATATGAATACATCTACATTAGCCACCACACGAGATCCAGAGTGGGAGAAGCTTCACTCTTCAGAAACTACAAATTCTATTCTTAATCCCACTACTAATACTAGTACAAATACTGATATTACTTCTGATGATGTTGTGGATACTCCGCTGATATTTCCAAACGATGTGACATTAGATCTTCTCACATTAGATGAGATGGTACTTCGACGTCAGTCTGCTGAGAAGAAGTGGGGACTCGCGTTGGAGACAACAGGAGGGGATTCTACTAAAATGATTCGCGTGGTTGGATTACCAACAATGAATGCCCAATTACAACGACACCCATTCTACAAACTCTTTCATACCAATAAGGATAATTGGCGTATCGTGAGTGTGAATGGCACTCCAGCGTCAAAACTACCGGAGGTGATTGAGATTATGAAGCACACATTGAAAATGCAAATTAAGTTTCAGAGGAGATGGTGATGGTGATAGTGACGATTCTGCTGAAGAGAAGGAAGAAGAAGAAGAAGAAGAAGGAAAAAAGAAAAAGAGAGAAGAAAAGAAGAAAAAACAAGAAAAGAGAACCTGAAGATGAAGAATAAAAGGAAGAACGAAAGAAAAAAAAGGAAAGTGAAAAAGAGAAAGATTTGCAGTGATTTGTACACCACTAGCTGCTGGTGTGAGAAGGATACACACACACATACACATGTATTTGTAGGAATGCTGTATATATATATATATATATATACGTACCTTCTAGTCAAAGGGGATAATGTACTTTGCTCTTGGAAAGGGGTGTTTGTGTTTCCTATTTATTATTATTATTATTATTATTATTATTATT